TCGCTTTTGCCGAGTTCAGACGCCCAACAGCAGCAGCCGCACCAGTGGACGGCTGCTGCTGTAGGTTATAGTAATGATGATTTGAGTGTGTCTGTATCTGTATCTGTATCAAGTGCATGTTCCAGGATTAGTTATAAACAAATTGACGAGGACCAGATTAATGTTTCAAAAGCAAAGGAACGAGTCCAATTACCCAACGACTTCACTTCTTCAAGAAGTCGCATTAAGGTACACAAAATGATTTTATGTTAGTTATTCTCTCTCTTTAAGGTGCACAAAATGTCTTTAGTTTGTTTGACTAAAGTGTAAATCCAGATTGAATTATATTTTGAACATTTAAAACTTACACGAATAGTTGCAATTCTTCTCATGTGTATATGATGATTTTTTTGTTTGTTGGAAAATTGACATTGTTTTAATCTTGAAACGCCACATAAATTGAGTCAGAGGGAATACTTGTTTATGGCATAGGATTTGAGACCTCAATTTCAAGTTTTGATTTGAAATTAGCTTTTGTTTATGAAATTTTCATCTTCAATTTCATTTCAAATGTCAATTTTTTTCAAAAAAGTAGAACTTCAAATTGTAATTTCAAATGAAAAACTTGACTCATAAGTTAATATTTTGTAGATAATGATCCATTATTTAAAATTTTACAAAAATAATTCATGCTCGACATAAAAAGATTGTCCATACATGTGAAGTAATTATATTAAAAATAGTTAGCTAAAAATAATAGCATGTACTTACAAATATTATTTATAAAAAAGAATATAAAGATATACAATTTATTAACGCAGTACCTTAAGATATTGAGCTTACTTACCATAGAATGATCATGTGAATTAGGTGCATATGCAAGGGGTTGCTGTTGGACGATCAGTTGACTTGACTGTATTAAGTGGTTATGATGAACTTATCAGTGTAATTGAAGAGATATTTGATATCAAGGGAGAACTTAGCCCTCGAATCAAATGGCAACTTGTGTACATGGATGATGAGGGTGACATGATGCTTGTGGGGGATTACCCGTGGCCGTTAGTCTCTTTGCTCTTTTAATGACTCGAACTTAGAATTGAAAATGAGGTAACTTATCATTTAATTTCTTCTTATTGCAGGGAGTTTTGTGAGATGGTGAGGAAGTTATATATATATTCTAGTGAAGAAGTGAAGAAGAAATAATCTTGACGCAAGTAATAAGTTTCGTGATTGAAAAAAAATATAGTACTAACAAATTGTACAGTATTAAATTCCAAAGTACAATTAATGTATGGTACATTCTCTAGAGTTTCTAAGGATTATTATTTCAAAAAGTCATTTAATTTTATTTTTTTAAAAACAAAAGTCACTCAATTATGGGCAATTATTTAAGAAAATCATTCAACAAATGTTAATTATCTTAAAAAGTAACTCAATTTCATTTTTGTAAATAAAAAAAATCCCTCAATTATTGTCATTTCAGTTACTAAGTCACTCAGCGCCCAATTCAAGCGATATTTTTGGCTGATACTACTGAAGTGGAAATTTTTTCAAGCCAGAGTATTAAAAATAAAAGGCTATTTGTTTTAATTAATTAATCATCATAATGATTCTCCTTTTATTTTACCAGAATGAATCCCTTCTTTTTTCCTTAAAAAACTTTCACGTCAACAATATAAATTGGAAATATCATCAAGATAATTGGTTGAGTGATTTTGTAGATGAAATGATAATATATAGTTGATCGATTTTATAGGTGAAATAACAATAGCTGGTTGACTTTTTTTTTTACAAATTAAAGTTGATTGACGAGATAACTATCATTATTTGAATGACTTTTGTGTTGGAAACTAAAATTGATCAACTTTCTGAATAAAAGTTAAAAGTTGAGTAACCATCTAAGAAATTAGTTTATATCATCTTGTCTTTTCTGACATATTGGCTCATAGATTTGATAGCTCTTTCTTGAGTTTGATTCATTTGTATTTTAATTTTCAAGGGCTCAAAGTTTAATCTTGAATGTGAATTTGATATATTCGTCACATCAATTTGTAGCCATGAAGAAAACAATTCTTCATCTTGAATACTTGAAATGTGTATAAACATATGCTTAAATATGACTTGTAAAGAATAATAAGTGCTTAGAGTAAACTTAACTTTTATCATTAGAAGGTGAAACAAAAAGTGAGTAGTTTGAGAAATTATTTCATAAATATTATATCAGTTGGAGAATTCCAAATGAGTTATGGCTAAAAGCTGCTGCTAATACTATTAATATGACTTGGATAGTCGATACACTGCATCTTGCCATTTAAGGAGGGAGCGCGAATTCGTTTTAACTTTGCTATTACAACATCTTTCAACCCAAATGTGAAATGGCTGCTAAAAATTGGTATAAGATACTATTCGATCATTTGGTTTAATCCTTAATAAAAATGTCAAACAAAGTGTTTCTCGACATTTTTCCTTTCCATTTCCAATTCTACGGAGCTGGTGTCACCACTTCCCTTGTACTTGTACCACCTAGCACATATTATGAAATAGACAACATTCATGATTCCCAGCGCTGTAATCAAGAAATAGAAGTAATCCAATTTCCCCTTGTTAAGGTCTTCCGGTAGCCAATTGCCTGTTTTCGCCTTTCCTGTTGTGTTGTGCACAATATAGATCAATAAACTGTTCAAGTAACTTGAAGCAGCCATTCCCAAGAAGAGGAAAGACCCTGCTATGCTTCTCATATTTTCCGGGAACTGTTTGTAGTAGAACTCCACTTGTCCAATTGCGCAAAATGCCTCTGCAAGTCCTGCTAAGGATAACTGAGGCACCAACCATAAAGCTGACATGGAAGAAACCAATCCTCTTTCTGCATGTAGCCCTAATGCTGGATTTGTGAAAACTAGGTTTCTCCTTCGTTTCTCGATGAATGCAGATACGAGGGATGATAGAACTGTGAGGAATATGCCAAATCCCATTCTTTGAAGGATTGTTATACCACCTTCTTTTCCAGTGATTCTTCGGAGTAATGGAACGACTATACGGTCATATATGGGTATCCAGAGAGTGAGACTTAACATGGAGAAAATAGTGTAAGTTGCTGCTGGAATTTGGAAGTTGCTGGTGCCAAGATGTCTGTTTGATTGAAGAGCTTGGTAGACAACAAATTGTTGCTGTTCAACTATTGCAACATGATATATAATTGCTGCAGCCCAAATAGGAATTACTCTTATAACACATTTAGCTTCTTGCACTTGCTGCACACTGCATAGGTTCCATGGATTTACTACTGATCCATCTGACTTGATTTGGTCTTCTGGTGTTACTATTGCAGCCTTGTCAAGAAACCTTGTATCATAGTTTATTTAAACAGTTAGGTATTGAATATATCAGAATGTTTTTTAATCCTATGATCTTAAACATGTCATTTGTAAAGAGACATATTCTTTGAAACAAACTAAACAAAGAAAGTAAAACAAACAAATTGAAACACAGAGAACAAAAAAAAAAAACTATATCTACTATTAATGATTAAATTAGGTCAGCTAATATGGCTTTTCTATAGAGCATATGACATGTGCTTTACCATTAAGACATTGACCAACTTCCTAGTGCATGCACCCAATATCATGAAATATCTTTTAGGCTAAGGTCATTTTTCTCTTTCTAATCTGACACCTGTGAATACAAGGGCCTACCATGTGATGCACATATTGGTTTAAATGATAGTGAGAACCACTACCTTATGTGAATAGTGGATAGTTGAAAATTGGCACCAACACTACACCATGTTTTCACACTAAGTCAGCTAAAATGGAGATGACAAAGATAAGGTAAGCACAAAATTCTCCATATTTGGCTAGAAAAGGTTCATTCCTTCTAATTTGGTAGCATTCACAATGTGGTTTTAGAGCTTCATAAAAATCGTGTGTAGGAGGAGAATTTGTGAGACACAGGTGTTACGTTAATACTTGTGTGCACCTCTTTGTATTCCGAGTGAATTGTGTGAGGTTATTTCTTTCGATATTTTGTACTGTCACATTTATGTAGTAAATTGTGGACATAGGTTCGATTGACCGAACCACGTTAAATGTTTGTCTCTTTTGGTATATTTCTCGTTTGTTTTCTTACTCATGGTCTTTCAAGGTTTGCTTTGTTAGCTTCTGGATGACACCTAATTATTTCGGTCTTAACAAAATGATCCAAGGTCATTTCAGGGAACTACAGGTTAAACAATTTATACTATTTCACTTCCAAAAAAGAGAGGAGATTAAAATAATTCTGTATATAAAAAAGTTGTGGTTTGAGTGACAATTGATTCTGGTAAGTCATGTAAAATGAAACATGAAACTAACTAAAGAAAACAGGTATAATAAAATGTTGACAATTCATGCTTTTTTTTAATTCCATCCTTATTAACATGCTGACAAGCAGGTATAATAGTTGTCATATTTAATTTTCAGGCCAAGATCACAGTTTTAAAGTTGATTGTCATATCTAGGAAAAGCTTAACTGCACTAATATAAATAATAAATCAAGTTACAATGTAGGTATAATTTAGCTAGTTTGACAGGTATGTAAACCAAATCCATAAATTACTAATTAAATTAATGGAGTCATATAGCAGACACTATGAAGATTAGTTATACCTAATGAACATGCACTATGCATAGTGTCCTAACATGTGCGATGCTGAATATTCAAGAACATACTACATGAGGAATGACAGTTACTCTGTGTCAATCCAATGAGCATGCAAGAGATTGAGTCAAATTAACTATTAATAAAAACAATAATAGTACTAAATTTTGCATAGATTTGATCCTTTCTGTTACCTGAATTGATGAGTGTAAGGAAGCTTGGAATTGATGGACTTGAGAGGAGTGTAATTGAACAGTGATTGCCAAGGTTGGTCTGGTAATTTTAGCCTTCTTTTCTTGATAGAAACAACCAGGACCTGTGCTATACTTGTCAAGGGACTTCCCTCTGGTTTCACTTTGACATAAATTTTAGTGCCACCAAAGAAGAGGAAACACGAAATCAACATGAAGATTGCAGGAATGGCTAATCCGATGGACCAGCTTATGTCTGATTGCACGTAAACCACGAGTGTCACTGACACCATTTGTGCAAATGTTAAGGTGAAAAAGTACCAATTAAAAAAACTATTGATACCCCTTTTACCAGACTCTGTATTGGGATTGAATTGGTCTGCACCAAAGGCTAAGTTACATGGCCTAATTCCAGCTGCTCCTATAATCAGTAGCCCGAATCCACTCAACAAGAATGCCATTTGCCATCCTGTTGGTCCTATACATTGGCTGATATCTTTGGATTCACAGTGAGGAGGATGCAATTTCTTGAATACTGCTGTTAATGCTATCACAAACAACCCCTACAAATAAGAAACAACAAAATCAGTTTTTCAAGATTAATTTTCTTTCACTTGATCAACCTTTCAAGAATTGTTATAATTAGTACCAGAAATGAAGTAATGGATGAAAATCCCAATGTTTTGTAACGACCAAAGTAAGTATCCGATAAGAAAGCTCCAAGCAAAGTGGCGAAATTTGTGGTTCCATTGAAAACATTGATCAAAGTAACAGCTGAGATATGCTTCAAGTTGAAAACTGATGTGAGGTATATCAACAAGTTGGACAGTGTCCCAATTGCTCCAAGTTTCTCAAAGGTTTCATTTCCTATAAACAAAATATGAAGCAACTCATGATGTCAATTGTTTAACTTAGTAGTAACTTATTAAAACAGCAAGATAGCTAGAAACAAGGAAATTGCTTACCAATGATAAATGGCATGGCTTTCACTCCTCTGTAGTTAATTTCAGGCTCTTTTTCAGTATCCTCATCTCTAAAACTTGTTGTTTTCTTTTCCATGGCTTCTATCCTATTTTTAACTCTCTCCTTGCTGCTTTATATACTCCTCGGGAAGCTGAAATGGAGCATAAAGTAGCAGCAGGTACAGATAAATAAAAACTGGTTCTTTTTAACCAACCACAATCCTACTTTATTTCTGCTACTTTTCCTCAGATCTAGCTCTAAAGGCACTTACTTTGTCATACGTTATACTCTCTTCGTCTCAAAATAAGTGTGATCTTAGTAAAAATCATGTTCATTAAAGAATCATTAAATTATAATGTGTAGTTTACTAAACCATCTCTATTTAATAAATATCTCTTGAAAAATTGAACACGATTAAGAAGATGAAGTATAACAGTACTAT